AAGATCCCTCACTGCTCAAAGGCCCTGAGTGCCGAGTAAAGGTCAAAATTTGAAGCCCTTCACCGGTATATGGTGACGTCTCTATATGAGTAAAAAATTCTCGAATGGGACGTAAAACAATATACAATCAATCTTCTTCTTTCTTTCTTTTTCTTTTGAAAGCCAAATGATATGGAAACATGTTTCTCAAACATATCTTATTCTGATTACTACATTGTACAACATCTTTTTATTCCTGAATAGGTAGTTTACCGTATACATCTTCATCGGAATTCGTGGCGTAGTGGTTAGGGCGCCTGCCTTTCAAGCTAAGGGTTCTGAGTTCGATCCCTGCTGGAAGAACAATTTTTTTTAATCTTCTTTTTTTATTTTTTGCATTTTTCTTCTTTTTTTACAGCCCAAATTACATGGAAACACTTAAAAAGGTGGAAAGACCTCTAATTCTTCTGTGAACAATTAGTCTACTAGTTTTATACCTGTTTCTAAGCTCTTGAATTTTGACCCGGTTTTATAATCAAAATTCAACAGTCCGGTTCAATTAATTTTCAGCGGACTAGGGTCTAAATTTAATATCTTTGGTCTCAATATTCAACGTTGAAAAAAGACCCCCCGGTCATTTTTCAACCCGGATCAAAATTCAACGTTACACCTGACGGTTGGAACAGTCACTACCTATATTTACGTCTTAAGTTTGAAGCGGTTCGGCGAACGAGAATCGAACCCGGGCCTCCCAATCACGGAGCGAACGCCCTACCACTAGGCTACCGTGACAGGTATTTACCCTTAAACAGAGAAGTCTTAATAATCATTCCAACTCAGAATAACTCAGAGAGTAAAAGGATAACCTATATATCCCTTGTAAGAATCTGATTATATAGTTACCTAGGAAATATCTTTTCAAATCTTCACAAGAACAACTGAGCCATTATTAGTCATATTTATACAGAAGCAACCATAGGTATTGTAGAAACAAGTTTGTTCAAATTATGACCCCCAACGAAGAGACTTTCCAATAATGAACTGATTTCTGCTTTTTCCTAGTCAATGTGTTCAGGTAAGTGCAGTGGCCCATGGGGCTCTTGTTTTGTTTTTTTTTATTTTCTCAAAGTCATTACTTCCGCAGGAATCCCCTTCTATAAGATGAAAACTTCTAATCTTTAAAATGTATTTTGTTTTTACTTGGTTTTCATTAATTAGTTCTTAAAAGTTTCAAATCCATGATTTGTCTAATGCATGGTGAATTAACCGTAGATGTGATTGAGAAAGCCTGTAGGCAAACCACCCAATAATCAATGAGGGTACAAAATACTGGAAAGCTGCGACCGACATCGTAGTGCCACTAGTGCTGACTTTTCTATTTTATACATCATATATGCCGTGTATATAATATACGGTACCAATTTTGATGCACCAGATGCGCATTTCGACAAATTAAGTCTCTTCAGTGATGCTCATGCAGAAACGTTGGAAATCCGAAATATAAAATTTAAGAAAAATTTAAAGAGCTGAAAAAAGGGGTGCCAAAGACTGGAGCCAAATACATGGAAGGATCAGAGTTATGCATGAGGGAGATAATCCTTAATTTTGAAATAAATTAAGTAAACCCATATCATGAGTTTGGGTTAATCGAAAATTGAATACCCTTCTTTTTCCGTTACGTATGCAGGCCATCCTATCGAGTAACCTCTGGTATAAAGCGTCGTCTGAAAGAGCTCGAAATAAGTTATTGTAACCCTTCTCCCCCTTTCCCCGCATTTGGAAAAGTGTGTATGTGGGGAGGGGGGTGTCAAATATATTTCTGATCCTAACTAATCATTTTTATACGAGTATATTCCCTAGTTAAAGAAACCTGGATCTGCCAATGCATGCTGACGATTATATTTTACTGCATTTGTTCTGTAAACATGGTTGGGTTTTCCTTCAAAATTATTCTTGATTATGCTTGTTATATAAATTTTATTTTATCATCATTAAAGTGCCAGTCGTGGCGTGCCTAAAATCATGTGTACAAGAACCTAGTAGAGGGGATTCCCTCACCCCCACCCCCTCGTAACCCCTTTCTGTTATTTTTATACAGACTTTAGAGTACTTTGAATGAGCTCTTTTCAACAATAATACTGCTAGAAAGCTTAGTCTTTTTTTGTCTACTTTTAGATTAAATCATCCATTTTTAATTACACTTAGAACACAATTATCCGTTTTTGAATGCATTAACACCATGTATTTCCTCAATTTTAACATCATGTGTGAACAAATCAAACTGTGTATCTTAAATGCACGATTATTTCATAAACCTTTGAAATAGGTACTTGTACGTTATATAGATATGAAAAATGTGAGAGAAACAACACCTAGTTGGTACAAACAAAGGCATTGACTTCCTTTTTTATATACATTGTACTATATAGTAATATCATATTACTGTTCTTTTTTTAGAATACAGGAAATGTCATGGAAATGCCTGCCTGTAGAGTTTATGTAGATGCTGTCATAGTTACATACATTGTCAGTAATAAAAGAATTTAGACAAAATCAATGAAGGACTTTGCTGCAAAATTTTATTGGACTAACAAGATGAATGTTTTAGTGAATGCATTTTTTACCTATGAAATAAACAAAAAATCAAACGCTTTGAAGCTGCTCAGTTATTTCAGAAATGTTTGTAGAAAAAAAAATGATTTTGTATCTTATCAACAAAATAATAAAAAGACTGGATCCCAAGTAATGTCACAACTTCTATAAAATCTTTAGTAATCGAAAGTTTTCAGCAAAACTTTATATATTGAAATTTCTATCTATTTTGATTTTTGCCCTAAAATTTCATTTAGATATATGCAATTCTTTATTAAATATTAAAATAAACACAACGCTGGTTCTCGTCTAAGGCAGCACGGAAGAATGTAGTTACATCGTTAAGACGTTTCTCTTTGAATTTCATTTTGAATCTGATGATACATAAGATTTGCGCAAAATTAAAAGGAATGAATTTAGAAATAAGATTTGGACAAAGGGCAAATAATTTTAATGCTTCAACTTAAAACAAGACGATTTATAATAGCAAAATGACAGCAAAACATATTAAAAAGAAGCGCTTGAGAGGTTAAAGGTATGAGGATGAACTGAAAATTATTGCCGAAAACTAGCAACATGAGGACCTCAGTAACATTCTTGCCGTGCGACAAAACCTAAGGTTGTGTTTATCTTAATAAATTTTAAAAAGTATTGTATATAATCAAATGAAATTTTAAGGCAAAAATGTTGAATTTTGTTGATATCATTTGATAATTTTAGATTTTATAGCAGTTGTGACATTGATTTTTGACCAACTCTTGTGTATAGTATTACTAATTAAATTAAATGGATCCTAGCCCAAGTCTACTTTTGAGTAGCCTGTCAAGAAAGTTAGGAAAACTCATTGCTCCTACCCTTTGTCGCTTAGATTTTTTTACCTGTTGATGACACAAACAGAATGTATATTAAACTTTATGGAGTTTAAATGTATTCACGAATATTTCATGTTTTCTTTTAGTGCCAATATCGGTAAAGGGCCATTCTCTATAAAGTCGTTTTACGGCCTACCATGACTTCAAATTTTCAAGTAGTAATTTTTCTCATAGAAACTGCATGAATCAATAGCCTTATGATTCAATTTACTGAGAAATGTTGATTGGTTCTTGATGATGCTAGAGTATTTGTTATGATATAGGGTCACAAAGTAATGTACAATATGTCCGTATTAGCATTAGGGTAATGGGAAAACACAAGAGGATAGGTGTGCTAGGCAACACCTACATGTACAAATTCCATAACCACCTTTAATCAACAACAAAATTTGCATGTTAACTTCTTATAAACATAAAGAATGACTTCCAGATTATAATTTTGGCTAAAGGTGGTTATGATATCTAAGTAAAAAATTTTCCCTTCAATTTTATGTTATTCGTTGGGAAAGCTAATTACCCATAGTGAAGCATATCAGCTTATGTATATCATTTCATATTATAAATTTTAAGTTAGAATACATGTTTCTTTTGACTTAACAAGAATTAATATTAGCCATGCATTTCTAATGGAAAACTTTTACTTAAAAAATCCAAAATCAAAGAACTGGAAATATTGGATGTTGTGGAATTACACATGAAGACAAATATCATTAAATTGTCTTCTAAGATAATTATAAGTACTTTGTATATACTATGAAGTCTGCAGACCATGTTACTTAATTATTATTATTTATAAGTATACTTTAATTTAACTATGCTACTTCTTTGTATTTATTCCTTAGGAGTACAATATATCTGTTAGTACTAGAAATGAAAAAAAAATGATAAAAGCTATCCATGTTGTAGTGGGAAGATACATTTGCTATTTATGTTTTTAATTTATTTTTCTAAAGTACACATGTAACTTTTATAGATAGGGTATTAGTGATGTGATGGTTTCGTTATTATAATTCTCGCCTCGATAAAATCAAACTATAAACAATTATTTACATCTAAAGCTTGTCTTCTGCGACAATATTTGTTCCTTTGGTCATGAGACTATAAAACACAAGTGAACAACACAAAGAAAGAATTTCACTTCTCATGTCTCTATGCAAGAAAACAGGGACTCTCTAGCTAAAATAACAAACCAAATCTAAATAGATTTGATGCCATAAAAATGTAAACGAAAAATATTAAATTTAGTACTTAGCTAGTGATATATCAATACATGTATGAGGACTGATTATATTGGTGTGTTGGATATTATGAAAATTGTCTATGGTGTCTCTCATGATCAGTATGTAAGTATAGAAATATGAAGAAAGAATATTAAATATAGTACTTAGCTAGTGTATCTATACTTTTTTTTAGCAACTTCGCTCTCTTTACTTCATGTTTATTTGCCTTTACGTTCTCTTTCAGAAAATTATTTCTATATCATACCACAAGTTTTAGTACTAAAGTGTTTTTTTTTCTCTCTTTAGATAATTTATTAGCAGGTAAATATTCTGCACAAAGTTCAATGTGGTCATGTCCCACTGACAATCTGGGCTGCACCACGTATTCAGCAAACAATGCAATTGATGGAGATATCAATACATGTATGAGGACTGACTATTTTGGTCCACCCTCTCCAAAGCAAACAGTGTGGTGGAGGGTAGACCTTGGTGACGTAAAGAGTATATACAGTATCAGGATACAGTTTAAAGACTATGGACAGCAATACAGTATGTAGCAAATATTCTTAATAATGCGTTAATAGAAATAATTTGATCTGTTGGCCCATTAATATTTATTTTGATTGATTGATTGTTATTTAACGTCCCATTCGATAATTGTTTACTCGACATATAGAGATGTCATCATATACTGATGAAGGTATTATGAGATAAACGCTTCAAATGGCACTCAGGGCCATTGAGGAGTGAGAGATCTTCATCATGCCAATGCTTACTGTGACACGGGACGTCGGATTTTCAGGTCACGTCCGAAAAAAACCCGACGTTCACTTCTAATGCCAGGCGTTTGGCGAAGCAACGGTCACAACCTATTTTTAGATCTCATGGGGTTTAATTTATATTGATCAACTCTCAGTTTAAACTATTATCGTACTTTTTTTATTTGAACTTGATTGTTTACCCAGAATATTTATGCACCTATTCAATAACACATACGATACAATCAAGCTCCTATTCAATTTAATTTATTACAAAATTAAATAAGTAAGAGTTTACATATATAAAGTATATTTGTATTGATATTTATTAGGGATGACAAAATATTCATTTTCTTTAGTCGATTATTCGTTGGCTTTATTCGAACGATAATCGAATATTTGGAACATTTTCTGAAAATAAAATTTTATTTAAAAAAAAATGAAATGCAATGTAGCTCGTGGATAGCATGATTATAGGGATTTCACACTTTCCACACGTCAGGTGCCTGTGAAATTGTTGAACAGTTAGACATTGTTTATCAAATTATTGATTACTCCTACTATCAATATGGCCTTATACAATTTAAAATGTAAGTGAATTGTTTAATAATTGTCGAAGTGTCAAAACATGTCACAACCATGGTTTGTTCCTTGCATTTGAGCAATCTTAAAATAACAAAAGATAATTGATACATGCATATGGTAAAAGACCAAGTCCAATTAATAACTTTACAAACAAAGCCTAGTATATTAGTGGGTAATTTTTCACAAAAAACAACACAGGTTGTTACTAATATATAATTATCAGAATAGTACAGCACTTACAATTACTGTACTTTTTTTTTTTTTTGTGTGTGTGTGTGTGTATTGTTTAACGTCCCTCTCGAGAATTTTTCACTCATATAGAGACGCTACCACTTGCCGATGGAGAGCTGCAAATTTTCTTCTATACTCGGCACTTACGGCCATTGAGCAGTGAGGGATTGTGACGGTACATATTGTTGTTTTGTACATATTGTCGTCGGCGACAATATGAACCTACCATCACTGCACATATTGTCGTCCATCGGTACATATTGTCGCCGACTGAAAAGTTACATATGTACATATTGTGCCTCACCCTCACTGTACATATTGTCGCCTCACAGATATTGCTGATTAAAGATGTCTTTTGTTGTTTTTTGGTAGTTTTGTGAATGTAATTGGTGTGAGAATCACACTGACGTGTCTCGTATGCTATTTTATGCAGCATGATTGTGACGGTACATTTTGTCGTCCTGCTCATATTGTCGCCGGGAACAATGTGTACCCTCCCTCACTGCGCATATTGTCGTCCATCAGTGTTATTGTATATGTTAAGTTAATTATTTAATAAATAAGTGGACTAAGTATATACAAGTTAAACAAACAGAATTTACCAAAGCAAAAAATAAAAAATCAGAAAAAAATCAAACCACCAAGCGGGGGGGGGGAGGGGGGGGGCTACATCTGTCTTTGGTGTTTGAGAAGATTTTTAAAGATTTTCTGTATATATTCCTATGTAGAACTTTGATCACCCATTATGGCCCCACATTACCCCTGTGGTCTTGACTTGAACAGAATTGATTTTGTGTTTGTTGTTAAAATGTCCCTCTCTAGAATTTATATATTTATATTTATAATATTATATCGGCACATGATCATATATAAGAATAACGCAAAAAAATAATTTCCAAATAATCACTACTATACTGAACAAAAAAAAAACATACCTGTATTCAATCTCCAAGTATATGTTACAAGAAAAAAAAGAATAGCTGATTTATCAGATATGTCAAGAATTATGGTATCTATATATGTCATAGTGATGTACATAATTCCTGGACACAATTTTCTGACCAAAAAATTTTCTCCCTTCAGTATTGTGAGTAATGCTGTCTGTCTCTCTCCGTGCGTATGTGTTTGTCAATCTCTCCTTCTTTTCTCAAGTAAATATATATTCAGCAAAACAATATATCGACGACAATATATGCCGACCTTGACTGTGCATATTGTCGCCGACGACAATATGTGCATGTGCTTGACTGTACATTTTGGCGTCCATTATGCAGGAGGAAAAAAAGGCTCGTCTCGGTACATATTGTCGCCGGCGACAATATGTACCGATGGACGACAATATGTGCAGTGAGGGTAGGTACATATTGTCGCCGACGACAATATGTACAAAACGACAATATGTACCGTCACAGGGATCCTTTTCGTGCCAGCACCTACTGCGACACAGGACCTCGTTTATAAGGTCTCATCCGAAGGACCGGTCTCCACGTCCCACAGTGGGATTCGAACCCGCGACGTAAGGACCAACTCCTTACTTTGCGACTCTAGAGCAGACGCTCTAACCACTGCGCCACGCGGGCGACCTGTACTTTGTATGAAGGAGGATAAATCGTACGCTCAACTAGTACACTGTATACGTGCACGGAAAGGAAATTTTGAGGAAAATTATTTAATCGACTGTCTCTGAGGAAAGAGGGTTTCTCAATTTTTTGTTAAGAATTCCATCTTGTCATCACTCTTTTATTGCATTTTTTTTAACTATAATAATATTCAAATGTCTTTTCATTATTCGATCGTCGGTCCATTCGACTGATAGTCGAATAGTCGACTATTCGTTGACATCCCTAATATTTATGGATTTAAAAAACATTTTTGATCATCATACTTGTCTGAAATTTAAAAATCATTGTTACTTAACGCTTTTCGCATTACTGATACAGCTGTTGATAAAAATTAAGAACTTCACATGTATAACAATGTAACATTTAAATATCGATATTTCCGTGAAAATGGATCTGTAAAAAACACAATTATTTATGAAAATACAAGTTATCGATGACTTCAGTCTCAACTGTCAACAATTGTCTTATCAAAAATAATGAGATGAAAAGGAGGACAAGTCCTCAGAGCTACATTTTGTAGCTTCATTTTTTTTAACAGAAGCCATTGCTTTTCCTTAATATCATAATCAAAAAGAAAAGTATGTCCGTTTGATTGTTAAAAACCATCTAATATGAAATTCTTGCTTTGTTTTTACATCTCAAACCTATATTCATTAGACCCAAAAATTAAAATGTTTTTCCCAATTAACAAGATCTAGTTTTTTAAATGAACTTAATTAACGCTAAGTGAATCCCTTTCCCCATACGGCGCTTCAACCAGGTAATGCTATCATCTTTACTTTCTCTATAGCTTTCCTTTTTATTTCCTAAAGTTTCAATGAAAACTGCCTTTCAACATCTTTTTTCTAGATAAAAGCTCTCCGACTCAGGCTTTCATAACCTACCATGCTCTTTTCTTTCAATAGGGTGTAAATCGGATGACACGACGGAATATTCCTACTGAATTCAGATAGGGCCATGTAGTTCACTATCGCAACATCGAGGTTTGGGTCGATAGTACAATGACGCAATAATGCGATGACGATGAGGCGATGGTGCGATGACGATGGTGCCATGGTGCAATAGAGTGTTGACAATGATGCGATAACGCAAAAAAGTGATGACGGTGTTACGTTGTTACAAATCAGCAAAAGAAAATCGATTTGAACTCCCATTTTATTATCATTTCCCACTGAGTTTTTCGCTCAGTATTTTGAATCTAACAGTGTAAATATTAAGCGAGTTTTAGTCTCTTTCTGATAATCTACGAATCTCTTGATATAGGTAGGTTTACTCTCTTCCGCTGGCTGACAACTTGTCAATTTATCATCTACAGTAACTAAGATTTCAAATAAAACCCACATTCTTTCCATGATGGTGATATTGTCCAACACTATGTCTGTATTAATATTATATGTACTTTAAGCAAAAAATGTTCCGTGTCAAAAAGATTTATTAAAAACCTTTCCATTATCCACAATTCCTACTAAGCTAAAAGACTGTCATTGAATAAATGAAATGAAACAGAAGAATTCCTTTAACTGTCCCTTTATATAATTAAGATGTTACCAAATATGAAATTTTTGAAAGTAGGTCAAACTTCAAGGTCAAGGTTAGGAGATCAAAAAAAAAAAAAAAAAAAAAAAAAAAAATACAATCTGAGAGATCTTGTCATTGTATGAAATCCATATGGTTTCATGTAACTATTGATCTTTGAATTTCTATTGTGCTATTATCGGATTCCTCCGGGTAACTTTAGAAATTTGAATGGCAATGTTTAAGTATAAAGGTATGAACAATTTCTAAAACGAGGTAAGGTATTGACAAACAAGTTTATGAAACAAGAATATCAACAGTTTCGTTTTAAGCCATCATTTCGTAAGTTCAATGGTCATTATAATGACCTTGTCAGCAAATACAATTTATCATTAAGTCATATGCTGACTGACATTTTTCATACTAATTGATAGGCCATTATTTACACACTGAATTGTCGACGGATTTTTTCCGTTATTTCCCGATCATCACAAAGCGCACACGGCGGGTGTGGCCGGTCGGCATGGGATGCTCACTCCTCCGTGGCACCTCATCCCACCTCCGATGTTTTAGCGGTCCGTGTTTGATCTGCTCCAAAATTTGTATTGTTTAATGGACTTTTGAGCTTGAATACTGTTCTTTATCTTCATATATTTCACGTAAACATACAGGACGAAGATGGTCTAACATATCAAATACGGGACTTAGACGAGGTACGAAGCATTGAGTTTCAGTACCGTATATGAAATGATAGACCATCCGAGTTTTTTTTTAATCTTACTTAAATATTTTTCACTGCACTGTTTATACTGGTTATTGTCACAAGACGATGCCGGTG